GGAAGACGGCCTCCGGCTTGGCTCTGCTGATGGCTGTGGTGTCAAGGCTGTGGTGTCCCGGGCTGACTCAGGCTACTGAGGGCGGAGACCAGGCTGGCAGGGCCTGACTATTTCTCAGCCGGTTCCAGAGCTGGCAGGAGCCCACCTGGCGCACCTGGGGGCGAGGCTGTCCAGGTACTTAAGGGAGATCTGAATCCACCTCTGTCTCTGCAGGGTGGTGTTGCTGCCCTGTCTGTCCCTAGCGAACAGAGCAGGGTGAGCACGCAGGTCTCTTCCAGTTTGGCCACTGGAGTTTCTCTCTCTCTCTTTTAAGGTAGGGTCTCAATCACCGAGCGTGACGGCTCACGCCTGTCATCCCAATACTTTGGGAGGTGGAAGCGAGAGGATTGCCTGAGCCCACGGGTTTGAGACCAGCTTGGGCAACTTGACGAGACCTCGTTTCTACATTAAATAAAAAAAAATCAGCTGGGTGTGGTGGCACACACCAATGGTTCCAGCTACTTGGAAGGCTGAGGTGGAAGGATCTCCTGAGCCCAGCAAGTGGAGGCTGCAGTAGCTGTCAGCATACCACTGCACTCCAGCCTGGGTGACAGAGTGTGACTCTGACTAAAAAAAAAAAAGCCAGGTTTGGTGGCTCAGCCTGTAATCCCGCACCTTGGGAGGCTGAGGTGAGTGGATTGCCTGAGCCCGCGGGTTCGAGACCCACCTGGGCAGCGAGACCTCATATCTACAATAAATCAAAAAATTAGCCGCGCATAGTAGCACATGCCTGTAGTTCCAGCTACTTGGAAGGCTGAGGCGGAAGGACTGACGGAGCCCAGCAGGTCGAGGCTGCGGTGGCCGGGAGCAGCCACTGCACTCCAGTCTGAGTGACAGAGTGAGACTCCAACTCAAAAAAAAAAAGCCAAAAAAAACTAGGCAGGGGTTGGGGATGATGAGCAGAGAAGAGAGATAGTATGCTGTCTCCAGGAGCAAGACAAGGCAGACTATCAGGAGAACCAGAGCAGCTAGAGAACTCCTGGGTGTGGCTCCTGCTGTGGTGATGGTAGCCTCAGAACTTTGGTGGACACAGGCATCCCAGTCTGAGCCTTTCCATTCTCATTCATTCAGTGGAGACACTCATACCTTGTCCCGGGATAAATTCAGGGCAAACACTGGCCTCTGGCCTCCCCAGGACCATCTCTTCCACATGGCTGCTTGGGGTGAGGGAGGCACCTATTTCTCATTGAGGAACGGGATCCTGATGGGACATGGAATGCTCACCCTTGTCCCCAGGCCCTGCCTAGACTTTGCCCCGCTGAGTGGCTCCTTTGAGGCCAACCCTCCGTTCTGCGAGGAGCTCATGGACGCCATGGTTTCTCACTTCGAGGTGGGTGTGCTGCCAGGTGGGGGTGGGGACAGGCAGAATGCCGAAACCCTGGAGGGCAGCCCCTGACATCCACCCTGTGCCCCCTCCCACAGAAACTGCTCGAGGGCTCACTGGAGCCTCTGTCCTTCGTTGTGTTCATCCCTGAGTGGCGGGATCCGCCCACACCAGCGCTCACCCGCATGGAGCAGAGCCGCTTCAAACGCCACCAGCTGGTCCTACCCGCCTTTGAGCATGAGTACCGCAGTGGCTCTCAGCACATCTGCAAGAAGTGGGTGCTGGGGAGGGCAGGGGAAGAAAGGCTGGGCTGGCTGGGCTGATTTGATCAGGCCAGGCCAGGCCCCACTCTGAGCAGCTGCCTTTGCCCGCAGGGAGGAAATGCACTACAAGGCCGTCCACAACACGGCCGTGCTTTTCCTACAGAATGATCCTGGCTTTGCCAAGTGGGGACCGACACCCGAGCGACTGCAGGAGCTGAGTGCTGCCTACCGGCAGTCAGGCCGTAGCCACAGCTCTGGCTCTTCCTCGTCCTCTGAAGCCAAGGACCGGGACTCTGGCCGCGAGCAGGGCCCTAGCCGCGAGCCTCACCCCACTTAACACATCCTGCGGGGAGGAGGAGCCCCAGGGGTGCTGGTACGGACTGCTGGAACTTGGGCCTCTGGGGGCTGAGCAGACCCCAGGGCCCTCCCCCTGGGGTGGCAGCGGGCCCCCAGCTGCCACTGACATAGGAAGATTATGACTCTGCCAGGGCTCCCCCTCCCTGCCCCTTTCCCCCAATTCCCCACCTCAGACTCACTCCAAGTCCCCTGTAAATAGACCCTGATGCCTTCCCAGCCCCACCCCCTGCCCTGTTGCCACCTTGTTTCATTTGTAAAAGGAAATACAGATACCCCTCCCAGAACGTGTGAGGTCATGAGGGCGGAGAAGGCTGAGGTACCTGGAGCTACTCCTGGAACCACATCACTCCACAGCCAGGCTCTCACAACTGGGGCCTTCATACCCCATCCTAGGGTCCTCACAGCTGGGTCCCTGGTAGCCTCTGCGTCCAGGACCCTGCATGGTCTAGCTCCAGACTCCCACAGCTAGGCTTGCTTGGTGCCTTGGGGAACAGGGGACTGGTATCTGTGCCAAGGCCCAAAAGCTAGACTCTTGCTGCCCTGGAGCCACCACAACAATGAATGGACAGCTGGGTGTGTTTCCTAGTAAAGGCTTAGAAGGAAGACAGCTTCAGAGCCACCACGGGCCTCAGTGCACACTTGCTGAGGACCTGGGTACGTGGTGCACATGCTCCCTGGGGTGCAGGGAAAAAAAGATCTGAAGGTGTGTGGTGGGGCTTTTGCTGCCAGCCACCTCAACTGCCAGGCCTCTGCACCAAGGTTCTGCGGTGCTGCTGGACAGGCAGGGCAGGTATATTGTGGAGCCAGGCAGCCCCCACCTCACACCACTTATTGGCAGGCTTGCTCTGCTTCCCAGATCTGGCCTGGCTCGGGCTGCAGCAACAAGTGGACAAAGTCAGCTGGCCAGGGCTGGACTCTGGTCCCTTTATTGAGAGTGAGGGGCCAGTGAATCCACTGAAACAAAAATAAACTTCTCTCCCAAAGCCTGCCTGCAGACTGGGGCCCGTGGCTGCCCCCAACCCCAACAGCACAGGTCTGGCTCCTGTGGAGTGACAGAATGCTGGCTGCTCAGTATCTAGGGACCCAGGCCGAACGGGGATTGAGTCCTAGTGGGTCCCGACCCCCAGGAGGGCTGGCCCCAAATCTATGATCTATGTCAGGCCCTTGGGGCTCAGTCATCGGCCAGGGTGATGACGTCGTACTCGATGCCCTGATGTTGCAGCTGTTGAATGTGTTCGGGCACTGTCTCCTCTGTGCCAAACAGGCCCTGTGCTTGGGCCATGGCAGCATCAGCCACTGCTGCCAGGAGAGGGGAAAGCAAAGTGAGTCTGAGGCCCAGGAGATGGGGCCCGGCCCGGCCCCCATGCCCTGCAGGGTCCAGCCCCTTACCTGTGACGGCTGAATGTGCTGCGGCCTCAAGTTGAGCCTGTGTGACGAGCTGCTGGCCTGGGGACACAGGCACATACTGGATCTAGAGGGGAGAAGCCTATGAGATGAGGCCCTGGAGGAGCCCTGCCTGTGCCCCGGCGCTCCCCATTATCCCAGGGCCCTACCTGGGACTCCTGAAGGAATGGGGCCCCTTGTTCATACTGGATGTGTGTGATCTGCCCCTCCTGCACCTGGAGACAGTTAAATTGTGATCCCAGGAGCAGGTTGTGCAGCCCTGCCCCCATGCCCACCTCACCTCAGGCCTGGCCTACCTGGATATGATGGCCTTCGGGGACCACAACATACTCCTGGGGGAGCAGATGTTGGACACCATCCTGGGAGATGATGTACTGCACCTGAGTGGGGGTAGGGAGGAAACAAATAGGTGCTGGGGCCCCACTCACCGAGAGCTCAGCTAAAGATAAGAGTGGAGGGCCAGGGACATCCATGACCAACAAGAGCAGCTGTTGCCAAGCAGGGACCCTGGGAGGGAGGTGGCTTGGAAAGTACTGTTCCTCCCCAAAGTGGATCCTTAGTGGGGAGGGCAGGAGGTCATGGCTGAGCAGGTCAGGGCAGCTCACCTGGTTGTCAGAGGTCACCAGGTGCTGTACTGTCTGGCCATCCGCCGTGGTGATCTCCTGGATGTAGGTGGCTTCCTCCTGCCAGGTCCAAGCCAGCTTTGGCCTCAGCTGTCTGCCTGCCCCCCCACCCCTCCAGCCGGTGACCAGCCAGCAGGGCCCCCAGACTTGACTCTTACCTGATTGGTCACTGTCTGTTCCTGGGCCACGATAATGTGTTCCTGGCCCAATGCCTGCTGTAGCCGCTCTGGGCCCAGGACCCCATGGCTGGACTGGAGTGCAGCTGGGCAGAGAGGGGAGGACGCTTGCTTGGGGCTCTGGGGACACCTGAAATGCCCCAGCCCCTACCATGGCCTGAGTGCCTTCTGGCCCAGTGGCTCAAGTCTCTGGATCCACCCTCATGCCCACCCTGTGGCCCTGGGGCAGCTCACTGTGCAGGGTGGCCAGCGTCTCGTCATCACTATTGAGGATGATGGTCTGGGTTGGGGTTCTGGCTGGGCCCCGGGCAGTAGGGGCCCCTGCCTTCTTCCCATCGGGACTGTGAAGCCGCTGGATGTGGAACTTGAGGTGCCCATTGCGGTTGAAACTGAGGGAGATGGAAGAAAGCTCAGGGGGGCTCCACCACACATGCCTGCTGTCCCTACGTATCAGCTCCCGGCCTCACCGCTGCCCGCAGAGGTGGCATGCAAAGGGCTTCTCCTTGGTGTGGGTCAGCACATGCCGCCGCAGGTCCTTCTTGTTCTTGGAGGCAAAGCTGCATTGGCTGCACTGGTGGGGCCGCAGACTCGAGTGCTGCGCCATGTGGGCCTGCAAGAAGGGCAGGGTTGGCACTGCTCCATCAGGAGAGATGGCAACAATTCCCAGGTCTCCGCAGACAGCCGATCAGGGAAGCAGGTGAAGTGGGCCTGGGGAAGCCAGAGCCCTATGCACCAATGAGGAGGCGGGCCAAAAGGCCATGCCAGACCAAGACCCAATGCTGCTGTGTCCTGAGAGTGAAAGCCAGAGGCTCCATCAGGAGCCCACTTGGGAAAGTCTGTCCCAGCCCAGAATCAGTTTACCCATATGTAACATGCAGGCATTGCATGAGAGGACCTATGAAGGTCCCATCCAGCCCTGATACTCTAGAGCTTAGTCCTGCCTGGTGGGGCCTCAGGCTCCCCATGTGGAGCAGGCTCTAGGCCCTGCTCCCCTCACTGAGCTCTGGAGGGACACCCCCAAGATGGACTGTGAGCCTGTGCAACAGCTGCCTCATTCGCCTCCTCCACGCACTTCCCGTCTCCCCACCTGGCACCTCTGCCCTCAGCACAGAGGTTAGTCTAGGTTTGTCTCCCTAGCTACACCTGTGACACACCTGTGCCTTGGCTCCTACAGGCCCAGCTCAGCCTGCCTTCCTATGACATCTTCCCCAGAATCCCCACATCCAAAGGACTCGTTCTTCATGTGTCTGTGCCCTGCACACTTGGTCCCCACCAGGCACAACACTAGATATAACCAGGCATGTTTATGTCTGGTTGTCCTCAGCCCTGACCAGGCTCCCTGAGATCTAGGACCTTGCTAAGTCATCTCTGGCCCTAAAGGATCTGGCACTCAATAAAGGTTTATTATACAAACGAGTGCCCCGATGAATGCACAGCAGGGCATGGAGGAGCTGCACCTACCCGGACCTCAGGCCACTGGCGGGCACTGAAGGAGCAGTCGGGACACTTGAAGGCACTAGGCCCAGCATGGGCCCGTTTGTGACTCTCCATCTCAGCTCGGCCAGGGAAGGCCTCGGCACAGATCTTGCAGGAAAATTTCTTTGACGCTGCAGTGGCTGCAGACAGTGGTGAGGAGGGCACGACCAGGCCCAGGGCTTTGCTGGCTACAGGAGAGGGGGAGGCAGAACTCTGGGGGTCCCCTGCCCGGTGGGTCTTGGCTGGAGATGGAGGCTCAGGGCCGTCTCTGGGCAGGCCCCCACACTGCAGCAGGGGCCACTTGGTTCCAGAAGCCAGGGCATCTGGACTTGGGAAAGAGATCGAGCCATCTGCAGTCAGCTGTGGAGAGACCAGGGCACATGAGGTACTGAGGAGGAGAATGGGAGGTAGGGGAGGAGTCAGCTACCCCAAGCCTCACCTCGATGTGATGCAGCTGGGTCCCGTCAGAGGCCATGATGTAGTGGGTGCCCGCTTCTTTCAGGGTGTCGCTCACCACCACAGCTTGGGCTGCTTCCCCTGGGGGTTCCTCACTGTGGGCACAGAGAAGGTTCTAGGAGAGGATGGAGGGCCACAGGAGCCCTCTTCCTCAAGCAACAGGCAACAACTCAGGGGTGACTGTAACCACAGATGGACTCCAAGTGGAAGGACCCAGGGTTGAACACTGGCTCTGCCCTGTCCCAGCGGACCTTTACCATCCCTCCTATCGATGGTTCCCAAGTACCCAGCACCCTGTTCAGCCAGTGGTATTCCCCATCTCCTTGGTGAACATGGCGGGTCGGGGGCAGTGAGGCAGGGTGTCCTGGGGATCCAGACCAAGTCTGTCAAGTGAGGCAGGAGAGGACCAAGGCAAAAGGCAGTAAATAGGTGGATTCACCACCAGAAGCCGGTGGGGGAGATGGGGCTAACAAGGACCTGCAGCCCCAGTGCAGAGGGCACATGCTGGGACTGGCCTGCCTGGTGCTGGCCCAGGGACCCTGACCCCCTTCCCAGCTAAACAACAAGGCACTTGGATTCATGCCTCCCTCGGATGGCCCTACACTTGCTCATTGCAGGGAAGCCATGTGCAGGTGCCTGGCCTAAAATGCCAGCAAAGCAGCCTGAGCTTGCTCCAGATGTCAGAACTGGAAACGCCTGGCATCATACAAGACAAGAACACTCAGGCATGGCAACCAGCAGAACCAGGATTCAAGTTCACACCTACTGTACATCTGACCCTGGGCCAGTTATTATCCTTACTGGCCTGTGTCTTCATTTGTAAAACATGGATCTCATGGTAATGCTTTAGGTGAGGTCATGACTGTCAAGTGGCCAAAACATGGTTGCTCCTGACCTCCTGAGGACAGACTCCACCACTTCCCATCCTTTACATGCATCTGGATTTTTGCCTCCTGCCAACTAGGCTTGGGTGGGTAGGGCCCAAACCCGATTGCCCCAGCACACCCATAAGAAGCTGAAAGGGGCCTTGCAGGCCGCAGGTCTCACCTGTAAGGTGTCCCAGGAGCTGATGTCCCTTCCTCCATAGGGGGCGCTGTGATGACACTGTAGCCAGCCCCACCAAACGGACCGGGTGTCAGGGTGATCTGCGGTGAGTCAGGGGTGCCTAGCTGGCTCTCAGCTGTGACGCCGCCCCCTGGCTCAGCCACGTGAAGGGTGACCACCTGTGAAGTGGCCCCTTCAGGGGAGGGCTGCCCACCAGGAGATACTAACTCTGCTTCCATGTCCTCCGACTTCACCACGGCCACCTGCAACAGCACCAGCGAACATGATGAGCAGGGTCTGGCAGAGGAGGTGGTGCGCAAGACCCTTCTCCATCTCAGGGCCTCCAAGCTCCCCCACTCTCCGGCCAGACCCAGGGCCACTCACTTGCACAACCCAAGTTCTTTTTTTTTTTAATTTCATTTTTTTTTTGAGTTGGAGTCTCACTCTGTCACCCAGACTGGAGTGCAGTGGCCGCCCCGACCACCGCAGCCTCGACCTGCTGGGCTCCGGCGATCCTTCCGCCTCAGCCTTCCACGTAGCTGGAACTACAGGCGTGCGCTACCACACCCGGCTAATTTTTTTTGATTTATTGTAGAGATGAGGTCTCACCAAGTTGCGCAGGCAGGTCTTGAACCTGCGGGCTCAGGCAATTCACTCACCTCGGCCTCCCAAAGTGCTGGGATTATGGCTGAGCCACCGAACTTGGCCAACCCAAGTTCTAAAATACACTCTGGGCTTGGTGCGGTGGCTGTAATCCCCGTACTTTGGGAGGCAGAGGCAAGAGGACTGCCCGAGCCCAGGGGTTCAAGACCAGCCTGGGAAATATGGCAAGAACTTGTCTCCACAATAAATCAAAAAAATTATCTGGGCGTGGTGGTGTACACCTATGGTACCAGCTACTTGGAAGGCTGAGGTGGAAGGATCACCTACGCTCAGCAAGTCAAGGCTGCTGTGAGCATGCCACTGCACTCCAGTCAGTGACAGAGTGAGACTCTGACTCAAATAAAATAAAATAAAATAAAATAATAAAATAAAATACACTGGTTTTCAAATCCCACTCAGCATCTGAGAGGAGACTAACAAGAATATAGAAGACTGGGCTCAGTGGCTCAGCCTGTAATCCCAGAACTTTGGGAGGCCGAGGCAAGTGGATTACCTGAGCCCGTAGGTTCAAGACCCGCCCGGGTAACTTGTCAAGACCTTGTCTCTACAATAAATCAAAAATTAGCTGGGCATGGTAGCGCACGCCTATAGTTCTGGCTACTTGTAAGGCTAGGTGGAAGGTCTGGAGACCAGCAGGTCAACACTGGGGTGCCCGTGAGCGTGCCACTGCTCTCCAGCCTGGGCAACAGAGTGAGATTCCAACTCAAAAAAAAAAAAAGAAAACAGAAGAGCAACTTTGCTCCTCAGGGGACGTGTGGCAATGTTTGGAGGCATGTCTTCTTGTTGCAGCTGGAGAGGATATGGTCCTGGCATCTCAAGGGCAGAAGCCAGGGATGCTGCTAAACATCCCTCAATGCACAGGACAGTGCCTGCAACAGAGAATTACCTTGCCCCAAATGTCAATAGTGCTCCGGCTGAGAAACCCTGGGGTTCATGGACAAGTGACAAACCACTTAAGAAGACAAAAGTTAGAGCTTGACCTCACACCTTATTCCAAAGTCTACTTCAAATGGATTAAAGGTTGGAATATAATAAATAAAACTCTATATTAAATGAAAAGCAAATAAGTACTTTATAATCTTTAAGTGGGAAGATTTTTTCTAATCATGACAGAAAAAGATAAAACCTACAGCAAAACAAACCATAAAATGAAGTCAGAAAAATTTGGGAAGAATATTTAACAACTCATGTGAAAGATAAGAGGTGGATATCCCTCATATACAAAGGGTTCTTGCAAAGCAACAAAAAAGACTAACGACTTATTAGAAGCACAGATACAGAACATACACAGATAATTTAAAGAAATAAAATGTTCTCTGAACATAGAGAAGTTCAGCCTCATTTATAATCACACAATTATAAATTAAGACCATGAAATATACTTCTGTTAGACTTGTAGAGACTTAAAAAGACTGATAACAGTACTGGCATAAGTGTAAGGAAACATGCCGTGGTGGTGGCCATGTGCACTGGCATCTCTTTTTACAAGGCTTCATACTCTCTGATCCACCAATTCTACTTCCGGGAAGCTTTCTTTTTAAACTAAAAAGATATTTATGAGCACTGAAAGTATATGTGCACTGAAGCACTACTTGAATTAATGAAAAACTTGATAACCCAAGCCAGAAAAGACTGCTTAAATAAAGGTGAGGACATGGATCTGATGGAATGGTCCAGAGATGCAATATGGAGGTGCTACGAAAGGGAAAATATCTGCAGGTGCCAGCCAGGCCAAGCATCACATGCTGCTGAGTGCAGAGATGTTGCGAGAAGGATGAACGTGGGATCCTATTTTGTAAGGAGGAAATGTCTAGGAGTTAGTGTGTGCATGGACAAAGCCCTGAAGACATTCTTAACCTGAGCTGGTTATCTGAGGGGAAGGGAGGGCTGTTAAGGCCATTCACCTTTTGTGTTCAACTTTTTTTTTTTTAATCAGAGTCCCACTGTCACCCAGGCTGGCAGCCTCAACTTGCTAGGCTCAGGTGAACCCTCCATCTCAGCCTTCCAAGTAGCTGGAACTACAAGTGTGTGCCACCATGCCTGGCTGATTTTTTGAACCCTTGGGCTCAGGCAGTCCTCTTGCCTCCACCTCCCAAAGTGCTGGGATTACAGGGGTGAGCCACTGTGCCTGATTTGTATCTAAAATTTCTTAATGTCATTTTGTTTTTTTAAATAAGTATGTGTTTCTGCAATGAGAAAAAAAAAAGCCATGAGACTGGCATGAGAACAGAAGACAAATCAATACAATAGAACTGAAAAGTTTAGAACAGACTCCTATGTATATGATACGGACAATGTGTCAAACTACCAAGGAAGATTATTGAATACACGGCACTGGATGACTTTTGGGGAAAAAATTAAGTTAATCCCTATCTTTCTGCATACACCAGAAATAAGTCCAAGAGGAGTAAAGATTAAGTGTAAAAAATAAAACTCTGAACTCTATGAAAAATCTCAGGTCCAACACCAGTGTCCCTCCTCTGTGGAGGTTCCCTGTCCTGAGCCCCCAGCAGCATGCTATCACTCCAAATTCTCGGATTTATCATCTCAAACGTACACTATCTTTTCAAAAGGCTGCAACACAGGAGGGGCTGACAGACCTCCCTCTGCCTTGGAGACTGAATGTGCAGGGGCTGGGGAGGGAAGTGAGGAGGAGACCCCAGGAGCTGGGTGGGAGAGGGGAGGGTGAAGGTGAAGCACTCCGGGAGGCTGTTAGGCTTGAGGTGATGTATTCAAGGTGTGACCTGGATGAAGCCTTGGGAGGCCTCAGGCTGTAGGCGACACCATGGGATGAGGGCACTCCCCAGATGAGCAGGTAGTTCTGTGCAGAGAGGCCACAGAACTAGGAGCAAAGCCAAAGAACAGGGCCCAGAAGCCACAAGGAGTTTGCCTGGCAGAAGTCACTGGTCACTTGGAGTGGATGGGAGACCCTGAAGCCTCCTTGGCCCTGCCCCCACAGGGGCGCCCTGCATTTGCCCACTGGCTTTCAGCCGCTCCATCTCCCCCACTGACTGGAAGCCCTCCCATGCAGCTCTGATGCATAGCTCTCCTCTCAGTGTCCAGTGCAGAGCTGGGTACCCAAGACAGCTGGGCGGGTAAGGAGGTCCCAGGCAGCTCACCTGCAGGGCTGTGCCCCCCAGTTCCCGCTGAGCACTCATGTTCAGCAGCAGATCCAAGGCTGTCTGCGTGGCCATCGTGGTTGACTCCTCAGCTCCTAGGAGAGGTGGAACCCAAGCCTGATACTGTGCTGCAAAACTAGCGCCTGACACTGCCCTCTCCACCTTCCAGCCCCCACCTGCATGTCCCCTCGACCTCGGGCTCCCACTCTCCTTCACCGCTTACCTTGCTGATAGATGATGGTGGCGCCACCCAGGGTGTCAGGACAGAGCAGCGAGGGGGTCTCAGATGCCTGGAAAGATGCTGCCTCTGGGGGCATCTGTAGGGTGGGGAGACATCTAAGGGGCAAGCCCAGGTTCAAGTGCCATTGACCAAGAACCTAGACGTGGCAGGCATCATACGCCTGTGGGCTTGTTTCACCTTCACGACTCCTTCCCACTACTAGCGGTCGTGTACATGGGCATCTTTTTTGAAGGCTTCATACCTTCTGATCCATCTGTAGCTCAGAGGCTGAGAGGTGAAGCAGTTGGCCTAAGACCCTAACCCTACCCTAGAAAGGAGCAGGGCTAGGACTGGAACCTGTGCCTGCTTGGCTCCACAACCTGTGTTCCACCAACACATACCATGTGGTTCATCTTTCTTGGGCTACTGTATCAGCTCTTGTGGCAGAGACTGCTAGCTACCTACCCTGAATCCATCCTCCCCTTCTGTACTGCTAATAGAACTCTGATTTCCCTTAGTGGGGCAATGAACCCGGCTACGAGACTACATTTTTCAGCCTCCCTTGCAGGTAAAGTGTGATCGTGTGACTAAGCAAGAAACTTCTGGTAAAGCTCATGAGGAAGACAGACGGAGAGATGGCAGGCATCCTTCTAGTCCTTCTCCCAACCCTTCCTCCTGCTTTCTGCCCGGGATGTGGCTGGAAAGGCTGGTGCTCTTGCAGCTATCCTGGATCATGAGGCAATTGCAGATATGGAAGTCATATGGTTAGGATGACTGGGCAAAAATACCGAGAGCTTGGTTCCAGTGACCACGGAACTGCTACACCAGCCCTAGACTGCTGACCTCTGGAACTTTTTTATGAGAGAATAATGAAGTATTGTCACCATTAAGCTCCTGGTATTTCCATTCTCTATGATTAGCACTGGAAAGCCACCCCTCTGCTAAGCTGAGGGCCGGCGTATCTGTGACCCTGCTAGTCGAAAGAGGCAGGATCATTTTGCCGCACCCTGATATGCAAGTGAGGATGCTGGGGCAGGGAGAGGTGGCCTCACACAACCACCCTGGCCTGGGCCCTCTCCTCCTATCTGCTGAGTGCGTGACGGGCCTCACCTCAGGAGGCCCCAGGGAGCTGGGGGGCGGTCCCGGGGCTGCACTGTGCTGCTGCTTCAGCTCCTCAATCTGCTGCCGAGAGAAGAAGGGGCGGCGGCGGGAGGGGGGCTCCTCGGGGTGGCGCCGCCCCCACTCCTCAAAGCTGCCGGCGTGTCGGCACCGCACGTGCAGCCGGAGGTTCTTCTTGTGCCGGGTGCTGAAGTGGCAGTACTCACAGGAGAAGGGCTTGGCCCCTGCAGGTGCATAGCGGGGCGCTTGTGTCCGCCCACCCAGCCCACCACCCCCTCCAGGAAGCCTTCCCCGACCCAGGGACCTCAAGCTGACTCACTGGCAGTGACTCACTGCCCTGCTCAGGCACATGGCTCCACCTGTGCAGGTGGGCCGGCCAGGACAGAAGTGAATCAGGGCCACCTCTGTCGCACAGTCTTCCTGCGAGGGTCTGCCCTCAGGGCCACGTCGTGACCCGCCCCTCTCATGAACTATCTCCTGCCAGGTTGATGAGAATCTGGCGGAGGGAATCCCCGGCCCCCTCTCCCTGGTGTGTCTACCAGAGGGACAGGCACCAAGGAGGACAAATAACCCACATCTGCTGTGTGGCTTCTGGGGACTGAGCAAGTGCTGCTGCTTCCCCTGCACCTTCCACCAAGGCAGGACCTACGTGAGCCCCCAGAGCCTGGCACACACAGGGCTCAGAGAGTGAATGGAACTCACTTCCCTAACGCCCACATGGCATGCACTTCTGACTTCCCACTTCACAATTATGGAAGGCACAGAGAGAACAAGCGATTGGCTCAGAGCCATCCAGAGAGCAGCCAGCTGGGCAGGAATTCGTGCTCAGGTTGGAGTGAACACACCCATGAGAAATTCTCTTTGTATATGAAGGACTCGGGCTGTTCACATGGCTGGGGCTGCGGAGGAGGTATGGCAGAGGACCAGAGCTGAGTGTCTGATGGAGGGCACAGGGAGTGGAGGCTGCTAGGTGGGGCTGGGGTGTGTCCAGCCTGACCTGTGTGCTTGACGGCCACGTGGGACAACAAGAAGTCCTCTCGGAAGGTGCGGTAGGGACAAAAGCTGCATTTGAAGGGCTTGTCGCTGACATGGGACAGCTGGTGGTTCAGCAGTGCCTTCTTGTCCTCACAAACAAACTCGCAGAACTCGCACTTGAACCTGGAGGCAGTTAGGGGAGGCTCAACAGTGGGCTGATGTGCACCCCACCCCAGGGCCGCCCAAGGGATGTACCTGCGGTTGGCCACAGCCTGAATGTGCGTGAGCAGGTGCATTTTGAAGGTGTAGCGCTTCTTAAAGGACTTCCCACACTGTGAGGGGTGGGAGCAGTGAGACAGGAGCTCCCAGACAAGGCCTCGCCTCCCACCCAGCCTGGCCCTTGGCCTGCAGCCACCTTGTCACACATGTGAGGCTTCTCAGTGCTGTGTGTCTTCATGTGCTGTGTGAGCCTCTTCTGCATAGGGTACACACGGCCACATACAGGGCAGGGGAAAGAGCTCAGCTTTGGGGTCTAGGAAGGTACAAGAAGGAAGCGATGGAGAGAGGAGGGGTGGCAGGAGAGTGAGAACTCCCCTTCTGCCTGACCCTATAAGCAGCCCCAGGCAGGTTCCCTTCCCAGGTCAGTGACCCTGACTCACCGGATCTGGCCTCTTCTTCCTAGGGGGAAAAGACCCAGGAGTTAGAGCACAGCTTCCACAATCCCACCACAGACCCTCCCATATTGACCAGACCTACTCTTGGCCCTGAGTATCCCTCCCCTCCCCCAAGCCCGGTCTCAGAGAACAGAGCTTCCCCAGCAGGAGTTCACAGGAAAATGCTATGAGGCACGCCATAACACACTCTATGCTCAGTTGCATTTGGGAAACGGTGCATTCTTGCTCTCTGTCAATCATGAAATTAATTTGCATATTAAAGACTCTAAGCAGTCCTGCAGGAAAGAGAGCTGTGGAACAAGTGGCCAACCTAGTGAGCCTAATCTTAATCGGCCACAGAACTCCTTTGAAAAAAACCTTTTTTTTGGCTGGGCTCGGTGGCTCAGCCTGTAGTCCTGTGCTTTAGGAAGCCGAGGTGAGTGAATTGACTGAGCCCGCGGGTTCGAGACCCACCTGGACAACTTGGCGAGACCTCATCTCTACAAAAAAATAAAAAAATTAGCCGGGCGTGGTAGTGCACGCCTGTAGTTCCAGCTACTTGGAAAGCTTAGGTGGAAAGATCGCCGGAGCCCAGCAGGTCGAGGCTGCGGTGGCCGGGAGTGGCCACTGCACTCCAGTCTGGACGACTGAGTGAGACTCCAACTCAAAACAACAAAACAAAACTTTTTTTTAAAAAAAGAAACCCTGTAAGCATCCTAGCTGACTTTTCCATACAGCCTGAGTCCCTGTCCCAGTGGATCTCTGTACCCAACCTCTGCTCAGCCCCTACCCCTGTGAAACTGACTTCTTCCTGAAGCTGCAGATCTAATTATAATTCAGCATGCAGTCATTAAGCACCCAAGGATTTGTGTCACTCTTTGTCCTAAGTCTGCTCTCCCAGCACCATGAGAAATGAGTATGGACCTGAAGTCTAGAAGATCCTAGGACCATTTCTCCAATCCCCACAACAACTGCCCCCATTTTACAGATGAGAAACCAAAGCTCACAGCAGGGAAGAGACTGAACTGGGACCTCAAGGCCCCACTACTGTCCTGTTCCCGGTCAAAGATCTGTGATCAATTGCCTTGCCTCTGATCACGTCTGTAATGAACAGTGAATGGAGCTGGCCAGAGCAGGTGCAGATCCATGGTTATCCTGGGTCTCCACTGTCCCACCATACTGGCCTCCCTGCTCCCACCCCACCCACCCACCCACTAACCGGTCCCGGCTGTGCACAGCTGCATGCCGGATGACATCCTTCCGGTAGACGCTGGTATAACTGCACTCGTCACATTTGTAAGGCTTGCTACCAACGTGGTTGAACATGTGCTCCTGAGAGAGACAAAAGGACAGTGGGCTGAGGCTGGGCCCCCCTTCCCGCCCTCATCTTGCCTGTTCCCACAGCCTTAGGGTTGTGAGGAAGTAGGTCTTAGCACTAAGGAGGACAGACAGCTGACTCTCCTCACCCAAACCCCAAGGGTCAGGGCCTAGGAAGGCTGGGGACTCTCCTGGGTGAAGAGCACTCACTCTGTGCCAGGCTCTGTTGGCTCACCATTTGACAGAGGAGGAAACTGAGGCTCAGGGTAAAGAGACTGTGGATGGCTGAGCCTGGAGCTGAAACCAGGGAGCATGGCTCCACAGCCTATGCAGCGCCCCCTCCCCACATTATGGAACATCCTTTCTGCCCAGAGAGCAACCAGGAACACCACGTGCACCAAGCACAGGGGCTCTGCCAAATACTGCCTCCCACAACTGCCAACTTGGCCAGATCAAGTCACTGTTCCTGGGTCAGTAAAATGAGACCATTGACACCTATGACCTCATCGGGCCACATGAGGATTTAATTATCCAACTACTAGATAAAAGACAGGCTCAGAGCTGCCACAGGACCACATGGTACCTTTGGGTTAAGGAGAAAAAAGTCATGTGTCCTGAGACATATGACTGCCACCTACTGGAAAACTTCCTAACATACAAAATCAGATGAAACCAGTTTTACAGTCACCTACTAGTCTGTGGTGATGAACAAGCAAATCTAGGGTGCCCACAACATGAACAACACTTTTGAAAAGGTGACCCAGTCAGGCAGAGTGACACACACCTGTAATGCCAGCACTTTGGGAGGTCAAGGTGGGACAAACGCTTGATCCCAGAAGTTTGAGACCAGCCTGGGCAGCATAGCGAGATCCTGTCTCTACAAAAAAATTTAAAAATCACCTGAGACCAGGAAGTAGAGGCTGTGGTAAGCTGTAATCATGCCACTGCACTCCAGCCTGGGAGACAGAGTGAGACCCACAACTCAAAAAAAACCCAAAAACCCAAAAACGTGATGCTACTCTGCACTGTACAATCTGCAAAATCACCCCGGCGTCCTTGGCCCCTCTCCACATTCCTGCAGGGTCTGAAGAGCTGAGCATTCTGCAGCAGTGTACCAGTGGGCTGGACCTGTGTGGTTAGGAAAGGGTGACCACAGATGCTCCGGTAACGCTCCCTCAGTACCACCAGCTGGCCTCTGCCTGCCTTCTTCCTCCTGTCCCAGCCCCAGCCTCCCTGGCTGTGTACCTTGAGTGAGGACCAGCGGCGGGAACGGTAGCTGCACTGCAGGCACTTGAAGAGTTGGGGGTCACCAGCCTCGTGGGAGTTGACGTGGAAGCGCAGGTCCTCATGGGACAGAAAGCGAGAGCCACAGATGCGGCACAGGAAGGGCCTCAGAAGCGGTTTGGGCGACTTGTAATAGTACCTGTCAGAGGGTGGGGGAGAGGTCTGGCTGAGTTGGGCATCTGGCACCCTGCCTCAGCCCCACCTCTGCTCTACGTACTTGCGGTATTTCTTGCCTAGGAAGCGCCTAGAGGGTCGACCACGGCGGCGGGGTGGGGCATCAGGCCCATCCTGGCAGGAGGGTGCTGCGTTCTCTGCATCTGACTGGCTCACACCGGCTTCCACTGGAGCCTGGCTAGCCTGGCCCAGGGCCGCCAGGTATCCAGGGCCTGAGGAGCTGGGAGTCTCGGGGTCCTGTGGCTCTGGAGGGCTCTGTCCGCTCTGGGAACTCACTAGAGGCTCTCCTTCCATATCTACCACACACACATCAGGCCACAAGTCAAGTCAGACACACCAAGATAGACAGGAACAGGTGGGCCAGCCGTAATATCTCCCCACCCCAAATCACAGACCACTGATGGGCACATGAACACAGGACAGATGCAGACAGCCCATGGTCAGGGGTGGCAAAGATACCACACCCTCTCCCACAGCTGATGCTGTCAGCACAGTAGGACTTAACCCAGACACTGAGGCAATAGCAAGAGAGCTGGACCTCTCCATCAGGAAACCTGGGTTCCAGATTCAGCTGTCAGTGACTTGTTATGCACCCCTAGACAAGGCCATTCCCTCTCTGAGGTTCATCTGTCAAATGGAGGTCAAAATCACTGCTTTAGTGACCTCACGGGAATTCCTAAGGTTTGAGAAGCAATAGCAATACTTTTTTTTTTTTTTTTTTGAGTTGGAGTCTCACTCTGCGCCCAGACTGGAGTGCAGTGACCACTCCTGGCCACCGCAGCCTCGACCTGCTGAGCTCCAGTGATCCTTCTGCCTCAGCCTTCCAAGTAGCCAGAACTATAGGTGCACACTACCACGCCTGGCTGATTTTTTGATTTTTATTATAGAGACGAGGTCTCGCCATGTTGCCCAGGCTGGTTTCAAACCTGCGGGTTCAGGCAATCCTTTCGCCTTGGCTTCCCGAAGTGCTGGGATTACAGGCTTGAGCCACCACGCCCAGCCAACACTGGCATTTCTTAAGGAGTTGGGTCGCTAGACAGTTGACACAGGAAAGGAGGGAGGAAGGAAGGAGACTTACATGCTTATGTTAATTAAGCCTTTTAAAGCTTGAACAACCTATATGTATTACCCCTTCAGCAGTCTTTAAATATAATACTGCACTTGATAAGTGAACACTGATACAATGATAACATGGCCGGGGTGTTTAGTCACACAGGTGGTTCACCTTGGGAAAGCTCACTGACCTGGTAGGATCTGTGTGCTTTCCACACACATACCTCCATCAAAAGTTATTTTGAAAAAGAGACAGAAGAATGTAACAGCCCGTCCAAACCGCACATACTACGAGGATTTCTATGCATATGTTCAACCCTTACAGCAACCTAAGGGCAGGTGCTGCTGTCACTTCCATTCAAAAATATGCACACGAGACCCAAAAGGCAAAGCAAGGCTCTCAAGTCACAGACTGCAGGTGGCAGAGCTGGTGCGCACATCTGCCTTGTCTTCCCTGTCCCAGCCTATAACGCCCAGAGCCACAGCTCCTCTGACAGAGTCTCGACCTCAGACTTAGTCCTCTGTCCTCATTTCAGTAGTACTAAAACTTATCTTATTAGTACAGTTGTAGACTCAAATTTCTTTTACTGTGACAATTCACCATTGAAAGGCATGCTCACAAAGCTCAGATAGTTTCTCCAGTGTGGGGACTGGGAGGGCTTTGTCCGTTCTGAGGGGCCTGAGGGTGCCTGGTCTGAGACTGCTGCTCCGCAGGGCACAGCTGATCCCCAGAGCTCCACAGAAGCACTCAGGGAGTGAGGCCACCCTGGACCCACTCACACGGGCCGCTCCCAGAACCAGGTCTCACCATCCGGGAAGTCCGAGGTCTCCAGGTGAGGCAGTTTCCGGGGTCGGCCAGGTCTCCTTCTGGGCCTTGGGGAACTAGGGGTGGGACGCTGGAGCCGCAGCGGCCGGCCCCGGGGCTCATCCTCGGCTGGATTATAGTCACTGTCCTCTGTGGCAACAGGAAGAAGGTGAACAGTGGCTGCACCCGCCCTTTCAGCCCTGACCCCTTGCCAGCTCCTCTGGGAAGAGGCCGCTTTCCCCTTCTACCTACTCTTTCCTCACACCGGTGACACCCCTCAGATGCTCCCAGCTGACTGTGAGCAGCCGTCCTCTAAGCCCAGTCCTTTCTCTGCACCTTTGCTGGCTTCTGCCGCTAGCTCACACTGCACCTTTAGGTGAACTGGAAGGTGTCCCTTTCTCAAGACACTTTACAGCCACTGTAAGAAACATGCCTGAGGTCAGGCACTGTGGCTCACACCTGTAATCCAGGACTTTGGGAGGCTAAGGTAGGAGGACCGTTTTGAGTCCAGCATTCAAGAGCCTAGGCAACATAGTGAGCTCTTGTCTCTACAAAAAAATTTTAAAATTATTCAGGGGTGGTGATGCATGCTTACAGTCCCAGGTACTCAGGAAGCTAACATGGAAGAACTGTCTGAGCCCAGGAGGTCAAGGCTGCAGTGAGCTGTGCTCGTGCCACTGCACTCCAGCCTGGGCAACAGAGTGGGACCCTGACTCAAAAAAAAAAAAGGTATGAATAAACACTCAAGTCTACAAACTCGATGACTGCCCTCCTCCAAAAGAGCAGTCACCAGCCATATATGGCTATCAAGCATTCAAACTACACCTCGTCCAAACTGGGATAGAAGTTGTACAATACACAATGGGTTTCAAAAATTAGTACTGGAAGACTCACCAATCACATTTATGACTGCATATTAAAATAAAATCTTAAATACATTAGGTAAATAAAATATATGATTAAAGTTTTTTGTTGTTTTTTTTTGAGACAGGTTCTTGCCCTGTTGCCCAGGCTGAAGTGCAATGGTACAATCATAGCTCACTGTAACCTTGACCCCCTGGGATCAAACAATCCTCCCGCCTCAGCCTTCTAAGTAGCTGGGGCTAGAGGCACACACCACCACGCCCACTGGCTATTTTTTTTGTTTTTTGTAGAAATGAGGTCTCACTATGCTGCCCAGGTTGGTCTTGAGCTCCTGGCCTCAAGTGATACTCTGGCTGCAGCCTTCCGAAGTGCTAGGATGACAGGCATGAGCCACCTTGCTTAGCCATAAAATATAGGATTATACAACTTACTTTCGCCTCTTTATAACTTTTTTCAAAAACATGGCTACCAAAAAAAGGTGAAAAACACACATGCACCTTTGCTTGCATTGTATTTCTCTTGAACAAATGTTAATGGGCCCCCCCCTTGTGCTCTTTTTCAGTGTGCAGCCTGTACAACTGCATAAAAAGTCCTGGTCCCACCAGAGCTCAACCTCTTCTCTTATACTGAAGGCACCTGTGGGTGTGCCTATGCCAACTTCTCTCTCCTGGCCCTCCACATGGGCTGGCCCAGTGATTATTTGTAGATGGGGGTAGGATGGCAGGCCTAGGAACTACAGTGGCCTACCCTCCAGGTCGTCAATGGCGCCAGCATCCACGATGTCATCATCGTCCTCCTCTTCTGGCCCTTCTTCCTCCTGGGTCTTGGTCAAGGTACCCCATTTCCGCAGACGTCCCTTTTTACCTGCTGCTGCCGCTGCTGCTGAAGTGATAAAGGTATGACAGCTGGATGCGTCTGGCACCTAGCACCCCACCCCTGCCCATGCAGCCTACGCCTGGTAGATGCTGCTGACGAACCTGGACGGAAGTGTCGCTCCCGCATGTGGCGCAGCAGTGTGGCCTTGGTGCTGCTCCGGTACTGGCACATCTTGCACTTGAATTGCTGCACCACCACCACCTCCATCATGGCCTCCAGGCTCTGCAGGTCTGGTTCCTCAGCGCCAGAGGCTGGGGGTGGCTGCACTGGGGAGCTGGGTCCACCCTGGGCCTCCTCGGGTGGCTCCAGGCATGTGGATGTGGAAGTGGGACCATCAGCCAGGGCTTCGATGGCTGCCAGGCTATGGGCCAGGGTGGAACTGGACATTGGTGATGTCATGGGGGCTCCTGGACAAGGTAATCAGAGGGAGGTTAAATGGAGGGCTGCACTGGCCATGAGCTACAGTTACCCCTCCCAGGCAGGTCTAGGAGGCCCCAAACCAAATTCCCTATGAAAGGCCACCTGGCCGGTAGGACAACTCAGGCCCAGAGCAGTGGATAACCTGTCAAGATCACACAGGCGTCTGAACCCATTCTCTCCAACTCTTCTGCCCACTGCGGGTCTCCCTAGGTCTGGCGCCAGGGTCTTACTTACCATCATCAGGGCCTTGCAGGATCAGGTACCGTGTGGTCTCAGCTCCACCATCCTCAGCACTGGTCACAGTGATACAGCCTGGGCAGAAATGAGGAGAGGTTGCATCTCCTGGGGAGGGACTTCCCAGCAATGCCCACACTCACATGCCCCGTACTAGCCCATAAGCAGGCCTGGCCCACATTCATTTTGGCTCATCCGTGAGACTGCAAACCAGCTGCCTGCCCTGGCAAGGCTATTAGGCAGTCTGGTGCGAGTGACGTGCTGGTCCACAGCTACACAGGATGCCACAGCTACTCTGGCAACCCGGCCTTAGACCAACAAACCTGGAAAACCCTCTTCCTTCCTCCTCAAACTTCCTCATAGTCAAGGCCAAGCTCCTGTACTAGTTCTTAGGGTTGGCTTCTGAGATTAGCCCAGGGTGTTCTGAGGTGCCACGGCTTCCATACACGTCACTAATAATAGCAGGAACAGTGTGGGACTCATGAACACAAGCTCTAGAGCCAGACTGTCTGAGCTCAAGGCCCATCCACTGCTCGCTAGTGACAGTGGGTAAGTTACTTATATCCTCTGCATTTCAGATTTCTCATTAGGACTATGAGGATAACGACAGCACCTACCCTTTGGGGTGACTGGGAGGATTAAATGTGCTACTGTACGTAAAGTTTAGCAGTCCCCAGCACAAAGTAAGCAATAGCTGTTTCTACTCTGTTTCTATTATTTATGGAGCACTTGTCACATGCCAGGCACTAAGCTAAGACCTTCACAGCACAGACTCATTAAACCCTCCTGCCATTTACCAGGAGAAGGGGCTGTTGCTCCCCCTTTACGCCTTCGGCATGGAAAGGTATTTGCCTGAGTTCATACAGCTGGAGGGTACCCAGCTGCTCACCGGCCTCTGCAGGGACACTCTGTGAGGTTCTCTGCCTGACTCACTCTGGATGAGGTCCGGTCCAATGGTAGACTCGATGATCTTGTCGATGGCCGAGCCCAGATCCGAGGAGGAAGCCGTGCAGTCAGACACCAGCATGTTGGCGTCTGGGAGTGCGCTGGAGTGCACAAGTGCTGGGGGGCCACCTGTCACCCCCACCATGGGCCCACGGGACACAGACGATGAATCTGGGAGGTAGCCATGAGGCAGGGGGTCCGTGCTCGAGCTGCTCTCAGACACCTCCTCCTGGAAGGTAGAAAACAGGGAGGGAAGTTGATCAGGAGCCAGTGATGGGGTGAGGCCAGGCAGTCCGCCAGCTCCCACTTGCTAGACAGAGCTCTCTGGCTCAAGGACATGGTGACTGGAGCCTCGCACCCTTGACCCCATGGAGGACCAGAGGGAGAAGCCCTCCAGGACAGTCTCCCAAGAAGAACTCCCAGGGTCTCTGGTTCTGGTGAAGTGCTACCCCGGTGTAAGGGAAAGAATACCCATGCCCCACACACCACAGCGAAGGGGAGCTATTTTCACAAGAATTTTGCATAAGTTGATCTCCCTGCCTGAAACTCTTCCCAGCATCACCCCATGCCTCCTACCCAGCCTTCTCACCACCATTTAGCTCTTCTAGAAACTGACGCTAACCCCAAAGCCACACCAGGACTTCATCCTCAGGGCTGCAGCTGCCCGTATCCGCCCATCACACTGCTGTTCACTCTGCATCGTAATGCCCCCCAAGCCAGACTATACCCTACACAAAGGCCTGGACAAAATCTGTCTTGTCCTCTGCTGTATCCCCAGGGTCCAGCACATGCCAAGGACATGGTAGACACATCTCTGCTGAATTAATGAAACCCCTGGACTCCAAAGTAATGACTACTGCTGTTTACCTCTATCAAGTGATACCCTGAATATGATCATTATCTTGCAGATAATACTGACTGCTCATTATGTGCTCAGCACCGTTTTTTAAACTTTTCTTTCCTTCTTTCTTCCCTCCTTTCCTCCCTCCCTTTCTTTCTTTCCTTTTTTTTTTTGAGTTGGAGTCTCTCTCTGTCACCCAGGCTGGAGTGCAGTGGCACGCTCACGGCCACCACAGCCTTGACCTGCTGGGCTCAGGTGATCCTTCTGCCTCAGTCTTCCAAGTAGCTGAAACCACAGGCATGCACCACCACACCCAGCCAATTTTTTGATTTATTGTAGAAACAAGGTTTTGCCATGTTGCTCAGACTGATCTTGAAACCCTGAGCTCAGGCAATCCTCTCACCTCTGCCTCCCAAAGTATTGGGATTACAGGCGTGAGCCACAATGCCAAGTCTTTTTATTTCTTAAGTTTACAACTTTTTTTTGTAGACATGGGGGCCTCACCATGTTCCCCAGGAGGCCTCCAACTTCTAATTCAAGCACACAACCCAGCACCCTTGGAAGCAAGTATTCCTGCTCTACCTTACAGATGGTAAGACCAAGGCCCAAGGAGGTCTCCCAGGGGATTGGCGGCAGAGCCAAGGCTTAAGCCAGGACACCTGCCTCTCAAAAAGTGAGGACAGTGGGTAGTACAGCAGCTAAGACTACAGCCTAGATTTGAATTTTGGCTCTGGTTTGCACTCTGTGCTTCAGTTTCCTTTGCTATAGGATGTGGGGGGAAGGTGGTATGTGCCTTAGAAGGTAAGAAGCTGAAGTGAGAAAATTCATTCTAGGGGCCTGGCACGTTGCCTGGTTCACAGTAAATTAGAAATTAGTATGAGCTACAAAAAAGCCGTGCTGGCTACTTCTCCTTGGCCACCAGGCACTGCTGCCGGCGTCCCTACCTCTACCCGCGCCGTCCAGCCTGATCCATACCTGAGAGTGGCTGCCACTTTCCGAGCTTTGCCCCACGCCAGAGTCGTCGGCCTCTGCCTGCCCTGGGCCGGCAGCGGCGTCGCTGCTGTCGGCGGACACGGCTTCCGAGGTGCCCACACACAGGCCACTCTCAGAGGGCTCCTCGGGCCGGCCGGGCCGGGGGGCTGCGTCGCTACTGCTCTCCACTTCGTTCTCCTCCATCGGTTCAGGGGGCCGCCTGACAGCAGGGAGCAGGGTCCGGGGCCGTCACTCTGCGAGAAGAGGTGACCGGGGGTGGAACAAACGGGCCACTTCTCCGGTCCCGGGAACCACAGCTCGCCCAGCTGCACCCTTGCGCCCATTTTGCAGATGCAAAGACTGAGTCTCCGAAGGGGCGGGGCTTTCTCGTGAACTGAAAGCAGAGCTCGGGGCAAACCAGACGGAGAAGCCTTGCCTCCCAGGCTAAGACTCTTCCCCGGGAGAAGGGTCCATGGCCAGTGATCTTGACCCTTTTTCTCGCCCCCACGATTCTCGTGGAGAGGTTTGCTCTTTGGGCCCCGTCGGGGCTCAGTGGTTCAGTCCTTCGGCCCACTCAGTCCCCCCGAGTGTAGGGTCGTTGGTACAGCCCGCAGGCCCCCTGGGTCAGTGGTTCGCTCCCCCCTCCCCTAGTTCCCCTGCGGAGGGGGCTGACAGCGACGGTCTCGGGGCCTGGCGACTTGGGGCTGTCCCCGGCGCTGCCTGTGCTCCAGGCCCGTCGCCATCTTGCGGCGGTGCCGAGTTTCCGCTCAGGCAAGTGCGAGAGCGACTAAAGGGCCTGGGACCCCAGGGCCCTGTTCGGACAGCCCCGCCGGCCCGGGTCCTCGCCTCCGGGTATCCCCGAAGTGTGACTTCACTCCACGGTGGGGCTCAAGGGGGCGGCCTGACTCTAACCGACACTCACCTGAAGCCTTCGCAGCCACGTTCCTCTCTGACTCCGGCATCGACGAGGTCGCCATCCTCTTCCCCCCGCCGCGGAGGAACCCATCGGCCGCCTGTGGGTCGGAACTACTTCCTCCGCCGGCCAGGAGAAAGATAGATTTCCAGTGCTCCAGAAAGCCGCTGTGAGGCCTCAAAACCATAATCTGGCCCGAAGAGACGCTGGGGTTTTATATCTCGCTTAGTCTGAGTGACCAGGTCAACAACGGGATGGGATTACTTTCTCCCGTGGCGGAGGGTTACATAGGAAGTGTTACGTGACGTCAACTGGGTCCCTTCCCGGGGCCGCAGGGTTGGGCGCGGCGAACGCCGGCCCCGCTCTCCTGGGGCGTGGCTCCCGGGGTCCTGGCCACGCCCCTCCTGGGGCGGTCGGGAGAGCCTGCGGCCGCGGCACGTGGTGGCTTGGCAGAAGAGGAGTTAGCGTTGTCGGTTGCCGTGCCGGGCTCTTTCCAGATTACTTAACACTCTTCTCGAACCCAGTCGATTCCTGCCCGGTTAGGTTTGGTGTGTGCTGGCGGGAGGGGAGCCTATAATCCTTGGTGTACAAATGGGGAAACTTGGCAGTAGTGGGAAACTGTCGGGGGAGTAGGGGGATGGGGGACACACCTCATCAACTAGGGAACCTGCGTAATGAGCATCTGTATACCTAACCCTGAATTGTACCACCCATATTTAAAATGAAAATTTTTTTAAAATGGGGAAACTGAGCCGGGCTCGATGGCTCAGTCTATAATCCCAGCACTTTGGGAGGCCGAGGCGAGTGGATTGCCTGAGCCCGCGGGTTCGAGACCCACCGGGCAACTTGGCGAGACCGCGTCTGTACAATAAATCAAAAATTAGCCGGGCGTGGTAGTGTGCCCCTGTAGTCCCGGCTACTTGGAAGGCTGAGGCAAAGGGATCGCTGGAGCCCGGCAGGTCGAGGCTGCGGTGACCGGGAGCGTGCCACTGCACTCCAGTCTGGGCGACACAGTGAGACTCCAACTTAAAAATAAAGAAATAAAATGGGGAAACTGAGACCTAGTGTTGGGAAGAACTGGTCCAAAATCACAGCAGATAAGGGAGGCAAGTCCAGATGGCCAGGATCAGAGAGATGGAGAGGAATTAATGCCTGGCTTTGTATACATTTTTGTTACATTAATAGAGGTGGAGGTCAAGACATTCTCCCACAGCTGTCTTCTGCTCAGTGTAGATGGTGTAGGTGTGTTTAAAAGTCAGCTGCCGTTCTTCAAACATGGAGAAAGAAAAATAAATGTTCAGCTGCCTTTAATAATGTATGCCCTTCCTCCTGGATGCCAGAAATGCCACCTTCTGTTTAATTCTGTTTAAGCTTTTTTTTTTTTTATTTTTTTTTTTTATTTAAGCAACTTGCAGTGGAAGAGCATTAGAACAGGAGTAAGCCACCCTGGTTTTTGTCCCTAAGTCTCTGTTTCACAAGCTATTTTCCTCAGTTAAAAAAATACAGGCCGAGCTTGGTGGCAAGGCCTGTAATCCCTGCACTTTGGGAGGCTGAGGTGAGTGGATTGCCT